AACAGACGTGTCACCGTATAGTGATAATTCAATGTCTCAAATGAGATCTTATTCTTGGTTTTACTGAGCGCCTGATCTTAGAAATGCAGCTGACTAATGTAGGTCTTGTGCTGTACTTGCGCATACATCATGTTATTTTTATTACAGTGGGATAACATTCCCCAGCTCCTTCACGTATGCAGCAACGAGTCTGTTCAGTGTGAGACCTGCCGCACGCAAAAGAAATTTCGTACATCGTGGTTGTGGCACTTTACTCGTACGTCATGACCACATTGTCTTTACCACATCCTTGCTATCGCGTGTCGTTAGAGTAGTTCTCAAGGAGAGCTGAACCAGCTTGGCGAAGGCTGGAGGTACTGTGGGAATACCTTGCCAGTTGACGACCTTGTTAAGGCCAACTGTTAAGGAAAGCTTATGAGCATAAAACCTCACCAAAGGTCATTGAGTGCTGGTGTTTTCTTGCTCCATTGGCACGTTTTTTTTTATTCCGAACTGTTTGCCTTTCGCAACAGGTTTTTTAAGTGGCTGAATTCACCAATGACCGTAGGAAGCATGCTTCGTAAAAGCTGAATGTCATGATCAAAAGAGCTCCCATTGTATGAGGGAGCTCTATCGAAACACATAACGAAATACAATTTCGTAATGGCAGATTACAATGCCAACACAAAAATTCCCAGCCGGGTATTTTTAGGGTTTATTCATTTTTTCGTTGTATCAATTCAGACAAAACATTACATAGATTGTAAGACCTATAGGCAGATTACCTCTTCCAGACTAGGAATCCTCCACCCATATATTTAGGATGGTATGGTTAATATGGCAGTACCCTTTCTCGACAACTGCAAAGTATTGCCAAAAAAAAAAAACTCCAGGCGACTTACAAAAACCACAAAAAATCATCAAATTCGTTTGCTTCAGCCGAAAAAAAGACTAGGCATGTACCAGCGAAAATATATTTGGCATAAATGATCAGTTTCATATATGCTCCGCAATATTCCTCAGTGCAAACGCACATACACGACCATGGCTTCAAATCGGCTATGCATGACCACAATGTATTAGTATTTTAAACGTTCTGTATATACAAAGTTGTGTGATGAGGATTAGGAAGATCCAGCAAAACCATGCAATATGCTTCTGTCAAAATGAAACGGATATCTGATGTATCATTTCTTTCTGTCCCTATGATCAAACATAAAAAAGCTAAACAATGAATGTCTAAATTATCTACTTTACAGATACTCTATCAAAGCCTACACAACCCAGAGAAATACATTTCATTGAACTCTATATGCTTAAACACAGTGATAACAAATAGAGTGAAACAGAACATCGATCTTAAAACGCAAAAGCTGTAGCGCTAGACACGTCGACTCGAAGCCTGTACTACTAGTGGACGTATAGTGCTCGGCATTTATACCTCCAGCTGAACCGCCTTCACCAAGTGTTCCCCATCTAATCACGGCACGCTATCTTATTGCGATTAGTATAATCTGAGTGATCTTAACGAGTTCTTATTACGCACTGGCAGCTGACCAAAAATCCCATGCAATGTGACACCAACAGGCAAAAACAAATGGCAGCATATCTACAGAGTGAATGATGGGGAGTGCGGCAGAGCATTCGTCCATCCATTCGTTCTTGCTTCCGTCCGTCCATGCGTACGTCTGTGTGACCGTCCATGCGTCCATCCACCCGTCCGTGCGTGCGTCTGTTCGTGCGTCCGTCCCTGCGTTCGTCCATGCATCCGCGCCTGCGTCCGTTCATGCGTCCATCCATGCATTTGTCTGTGTGTTCGTTCGTCCATCTATTCAGCACTCCAAGTACCACCATCTCGCATCTTTTCATCATATATTCTCCATATAGAAGCACCGCCATCCAGTGGACATGACAGGACTAAACGGGAGGTGGCACATGCACACTTTCTTACGGCTTGTGCTTCGGGTTTACTTCCCACCTTTAACCACCTCGAGTTCATGGTATATACTAGTTCACTGTATTCATGGCTATGCGGCCCAACGCTCGCTAAACCTTTCTGAAACCAAGGAGGTTACACCCAGCGAGTATAACGTAGCAACCCTTTCTTGTCAGATCGTGCTCAATGTACATGCCAATAGCTGCTAATGGGGTTCACAGCGTGCGCGTTACCTAAAGGCCGAATGCTCCCGTCTCTCATTCCCCTTTAGCAGCCATTAACATGTGCATTGAGCACTATCTTTTATTGTTCAACAACGCACAGAAGAAATCTCTCACCGGAACCACCTTGGAGGTCAAAAATTTCCCACCGGCACCACCTTGCAGGTCAAAGCGTAAGACTGGTTACATACTACGATGGGACGCGGGACGAACGGGTGCCGCTATAAGGAGCTTCGCCCCTAAAAAAGTGTCCCGCACTCGTCGTAAGGGTACTGGCAGCCTTGACTCCCATTCCCACTTTTAAATGCACATACAGTGTGTGTGAGTGCGTGTGTGCGTGCGTGTGTGTGCGTGTGCGTTTGTGTGCGTGTGTGTGTGCGTGCATGCGTGCGTGTGCGTATGTGTGTATGTGTGCGCGCGTGCGTGTGTGTGTGTGTTAAGTGATTGATTGGTATGTGGGGTTTAACGTCCCAAAACCACCATTTGATCATGAGAGACGCCGTATTGGAGGGCTCCGGAAATTTCGACCACCTGGGGTTATTTAACGTGCACCCAAATCTGAGCACACGTGCCTACAACAATTCCGCCTCCATCGGAAATGCAGCCGCCGCAGCCGGGATGTGTGTGTGTTTCTTGTTTTCGTTCTTTTTAGGCAAGAGATATTTCTTTTAAAAGGTAGAATCACTAGGACCTTACCGTCATTGCATTAAATTTCTAGGCCGAGGAATAAATATTTCGCCAATAAAGAGATCACACAGGAATAATTAATTACGAATAATAAATAATTATAATAATATTAATAATAATTAATTAAGACATATTATTTCACTTCTTTATTATCAATTTTTGGGTGGTTGATTATAGTGGTGAAATTATCTGCGTTTATACTCAAATCAAACCTCATTTCTTAAAGTTGAAGATATCGCGTTCAGTTTGCGAGATATATCCTCGAATTTCCAGACCACGGTGCCGGCGATACTAAAACTAAATGCACCGGGTAGCCCGGAAGGTTGGCCTGTGTGCTGCATCCCGCTGGTACTACTCGCATATATCTATCACCTGTGGCACTTACTCGCATACCAGTGGCACATACCCGCCAGTGGGTATGAGCCACTGTTTTCGGGAAAATGTTTGATGACGTTCGCCACATTATTGTAAAAATATTAATGTCATGATCAGCGCGTCATGTTCGTAAATTCATATTACCATTAATAAAGATGCGTTGCTTGGCAAGTTGGTACTTGTTTAGATATTTCGCCATTCTCTACTATACTCGGCGACAGCTTTTCTTGACATTGGAGCGAAGGCTACGGAGGCGGGGCCTCCGCACATTTGTGTTACTACGCAAATGTGCGGAGGCCCCGAAATCGGCAGCTACCGAAATCGGCAGCTTGCAGCCGATTTCGGTTCCAGTTTCGGTTTTCGCTTGCTCGCTGCGTTAGTGTGTTTAATATAGCAAAATGTATGCATGCAAAATGGGAACGTCAGAGTTAAACTTTGATGAGAGTGCAGACATGCAGCTAGTTACTGTGCTGTTTATATACTGGTACATATCAAATTTTCCGTTGTTCAGAACATTTTCCCAGCATTATTCAGCCTTTATAACAGTGAAGTTTAGGTTCCGTGTTCAGCCGAGTATATACGGGTACGCGCCACACGTGATCGAATGCTAACGTTCACGGTATTGAGCCCTGGTATAGGCGAAACGGAAGGCCGGTTGCGGCACGATCCGGCCACGGGCCTGTCTTGTTTCAGTTTCGCTGTATTCAGTTTACGCCCTCAAAGGCTGTCAGCAATGATCGGCGCAGACTGCGCCTCAGTGTTCGAGAAGCCTCGCAATTGTTGTAGATCGTTGTTAAGATTGCGCGCAAGACGCGAACAGTGAAGCTTATTTCAGAGCATTGCGTGGCCACCAGTGATAAGGCTGGAAAGTTCGAATGCGTGATGTATAAAAGACGGAGCGTCCCAACGATGAGCAGCTTTTCCACGGCCGATGCTGTGCTCGCCGCTGCAAGAGAAAGCAGCAGACGCAGCCGGCGTGCGGAAAACGTGGTGCCATCCAAGAAATAAAAAAGAAAAAAAAACTAGGGCGCACGATAACTTCTTTTACGTGAACAACGTCCCATACTTGTTCTATCCTTACAATAAAGAAAGCTTTATTTATTCGGGCCAAGTAGCTATTAGAATCAGAAAATAAAATAGGTACTATTTCCTGGCGCGCGCGCATGCAGGCGGTTCGGCTCTATAGCTTCCACAGTGCTGTCAAGAACAGCTGTCGCCGAGTATAATTCTGGTGTACCCCAAGGGAGTAAACGACAGACAGACAGACAGACAGACAGACAGACAGACAGACAGACAGACAGACAGACAGACAGACAGACATGCCAAAATTGCTTACAGCACGTGAAGATATGCTTCGCATTTAAAACACGACTGCTGGCCTGATGGAGCACGATGTAAAAAGCTTAGAAAATCAAGTGGAGGCTTGGGTGCACAACTAGACACTACAAATTTGTCGACTTCTCTTTGGGTCCTTCAGTTAGTCATGGTTCATTTGCATAATCGTGAACACAGTACTTATGAGCGCAATATTTTGTATATCCCATGGTTCAGCTTTAAATCGATACCAGTCACAGCAAGTAGGGATGTCTTACATCATCAGATTGTTAGTAACGTTGGCAGCAAACATGGTTTGCACACAAAAAGTTTTGGTCCAGAAGCCCCTACACAATTATTTTCTAGTTGTTCGTAATTGTTGGACAACGTAGCACAATACTCACGTACACGTTGAAAGGAACCATAGGTGCACCACACCACGCCGACCTATGTTTTTGCATAGGTTCCGTGACGAACCACTCACCGATTCACCAGAAGGCGCACTTATCGGGGGGGTTCATTCGTGCAGTGGCACTACAGTTGAAGGCCTCCGAAAACTGTTGCATGTTCATCAAGGGCATGTTGCACCTTGCATTAAAATCCGGATAGCGTTGGCTTGCACGAAGGTTAGAGCACCACTTGTAGCAGAACGCGATGAAGAACAACTGGTCACTCGTCACTCCTGGAATTCCTCGCAGCTCTAATGACACGTCGGGCACTTGCTTCGCCTTAAGATAGGCGTCGTAGAGACCGGAGAGCCCAATAAAGTCCGCCATCATTTCAGAATCTGTGACATCGTCTACCTCGCCCAATTCTTCTTCCAATGAGTTTCGAATGCACAAGACGCGTTTTTCATATTCGATTTTAGAAACTGGGGTCCACCAGTCTCTTTCCACGTAGTTGTCATCTAGACGCCGGTTGGCGATGTCAAACGCATGCATCATTTCGTGAGCGGCCAGGTGACCTGCTGAGGCGTAGTCAATGGCCGGGACTGTACCGAAGAAAGGCGGAAGTAGTAGGCCCATGCCCACAACCATGGTGTTCAGAGGTGGCCTGTATATGGCAGTTCGTCATCGCCATTAAGTTTTTGATGCTCAACTGGGCAGGATGCTCCGAGAGTCGTTGAAACTCTTTCCTACTCACTGACCGTGAGGCACTAAGCCAGTTGGTAACAAATGAGGGGCCTGCATTGCCAAACGTCTCGTAGTGCCTATTAAGTAAGCTGTCGTCTTCCCCACCCTCCGGGTAGCCGACTACTTTCTTCATCTTGGCGAGTTTTTTTAAGGGCTATTTCCCTCGTGCTGTCTTCTATCCATGATGATTCAGCTATTCGAGTCTTCAATGACTCCGCAATGCTATACACCATATCTTTGGCCTTGTATATGGTGTCTGAAGTCAATGAAGTGTGATAGAAGGTGGCGTAAGCTGCTTTGGTCATCAACTTAGATGCATGCTTCAGGCAGTGGGTTTCCCACCCACTCATTTTATATGAACTGGTTCTACCAACATGAACCAATTGCCTCAACCGCCAAGACAAATCGAAGGCCATCCAAATACGAAGGTCATTCGGGTTTAGAAACCTCTGAAAAACCTTCACCAAAAATACTATCAGGTAGCGGGTCTCGAACACAACGTAATGGTCGCCAGGTAGCAGTCCGTTTGTGATGTTCCCCATGTAGTAGTTCCACTTTTCGCTTTTTCTACCGAGAATGGCTTTTTCCATTGTACGCAGCAGTATAACCGATCTTTCCGTTTCATGCGTCTCCTCATCCTCATAGGCACGCCTACAAAGCAATATGAGGTACTCTTCTATTGTTGCAATATTGTGCGTAAGCTTCCAGACAATATTATCGTCCAGCCCGAGCCATTGGAGGTGCTGCTCAATTTCTTCATCGCTTGTACGCTCCCCGAGCAAAAAGAGCCGGCGGATACTCACAATTACTAGCAGTCGCTCTGCATTTCCCGGAATTGTGTCAACCCTCACGTTGAATAACGTTGGAAGGCCATAAACAATTGAAAAATAGAGCATCAAGTGTGCGGGGTCTACGTCAAACTTATTCTCAAATGACGCATTGTGTTCGCGGAGAAAATTGACGATATCCACCCTGGGGTTTTGGCTAGATGGGCCATGTTCTTCATTGCTGAAAACATTCACGCACGACTGGAATAGTCCGGCCAACTTCTGTACAGCTGTCTGACCATCCGTAGGTACCGAGGTGTTCCTCAGAATGCCAATCACTGACTGACTGATTCTGTGGGCGTGCTCATGCAGCACACTGGTTGACAGCGAGCTGGGGTTCATCTTCCATCCCGTACACACGTAGTCGTAAAAGTTATCACAAGGCTTATACTCTCGCGACAGTGATTTGTTGTATAAGTCAGATACGGCCTGGCATGTCTCGCTGTCGCACGGTGATCTGGTGGGATATACGCTGTGGTTGCACCCCAGGTACAACGCCAAAAGTGCGATCAGAAACCCTGAAGCGAGACCACAGGAAGTTGTAGTGGCACCTGCCACTAACTTGCCGCACCGCTTCTTCGCAACCGGACCTCTCACTTGTTGTGATTGCGATTCCTGCGGGAAAGGGCGCACGTTGAAAACGAGTACCTAAAGAAAAACTGATGTTTTCATCATGTCTTAAATGAACTCCTGACTTTCCTGCTGATTTCATGCGCTGGTCGAGTGATCTCACGAGTATTACTACGTCAAGCCTTGCTTTCCCATTGAAGTATGGGGGTGCGGATAACAAACAGACGAATCGCAATGTCATCCAGAAATTCTCGGCACACAATGGTGTCTTCATAAAAACATGCATTCTTTACGTCATATGGAGACTTTTTTTTACGTGGACTGGACATTGTGAACGAATAGGCTTCACCATTTGTCAGCTTCGGATACCTTCATAATCACCTATGTTTTCCTGAATCTACGTTAGGTAAGACACGTCTGATGGCATCCTTCCGATGCATATTATAAGGTGTTTCAATTTACGTACTACATTTCAAGCCTATTAAATTATTTCAGGCCTATATATTTGTTAATACTGACGTATGACATTACGGCTACGCGCATTTTAAGTTGTAAATTCAGGTATATTCACACACTGCTCAGTACATTTTGGTGTAAACGGCGTTCCTTTGCTGCAGTGAGTAACAGAGATCCTTTCATGCAAACGTTTTGATCCCGTCTGAGATGTTATGGCTAAGAATTCCATGGTGCGCGCAAACCTAATATAGTGCCGATAGCGCGCTGGCAATAGAAGACAGAATATGCTGCAACTAACATTTACCTCTTCGTTTTGTATCTTCTGTCATCAGTTTTCCCAGCTGCCTTCTATAACTAGTAGTGCCTTGCAAGCCAGAAAAATGACAAGTTGGGTGAGTGGGTAATGATACATTATGTAACTGCAAAAAAACGGATGGAAACAAAAAAATAAAGAGAGGAGAGAAAGAACAGACAAGCGCAGACTATCAACTGAAGCTTTGTTGCAACAACGAGGCATTATATAATGGAGAGAATAGAAAGCAAGAGCGGGCAAAGGGGGAGGGGGGGGGGGGTACCGTTCATTTTTCAGCAGTCACATTAAGGCCCTCATACACGCACAGATTCTATTTTCACACGCATACTGAAAAAAACGTTGTCATTTCTTTCTTAACTAAGTGCGTATTCAAGTATATACTATCTCAAAAGAGATTACCATTATCCTAAGCCTTATTTATGTCCATTTCAAGACCTCTAATTTTCTCTCAATTATGTACAATTTACCCTCTCGGATTTCATTATCTGGTGGTAAGCTCAGCTTCGTCTCTTCATCTAACTCACCGCCCCCATCAGCATCGTTTCTACTCTAAGTAACCATTCACCACCTTTGACAGAGAGGGATAAAAATTAAGCAAGGCTGGGAAATTACCCAGTAGGCAGTATCTGACTCTTTACTGTGGTTGGGGAAAAGGTGGTAAAAACAGACAAAATAATTATTACGTGAAAAAAAAACAATTGCAGTCCCACACAGGCCAGAGATCGCAGGAAGCCTAATGGAGCTTGTAAGGCTATTTTTCTGGGATGTTATGCCTATAGGCGATGGAGTAGTAGTAATTCATTTCATATAGGCGGGGCGTCTAACTTGTTGAAAGCCTGACAAAGAGACTGTTCCTGTGTGGTGTAGTCCAGACAGTCACACATAACATGTCAAACTGTTCCTTCGTCACCTCAGTGTTCACAGGCGGCGTTTCACAGCCATGCCCATACAGAATATGATCACAGCCATCGCCCTGCAGAACGCATACGCAAGGGCATAGAGTTTCTTAAATATACACGCTGACGCTAGTGTCTATGGGAGTTGCAACGCGCGGCGCTTCAGCAAACATGGGAATGATGAGTAGAACACGGATTTGTCTCATCTTCGTACTTCTGGCTCTGTGTGTGTTCGTTTGGCTTGAAGCTGTTTTCTCACGAAACAAAAATCAGTAAATGTTCAGCAGTTGCGCTTCACCACCTTATTCTTTCCGGCTTACCATTGCAAGTCGGGTCACGAAGTTCGAAAAGGTTCATTCTTTCCTTTGAAACAAAATTGAAATGCATCAACAAATGAAGCTAGAAGTGCGATTCACCGCCCGCAAGTACGAAGACAAGATAAATGTCAATACTAGCCATCATTTCCATGGTCACTGAACGATCGCAGTGCCAGAGACCCCTCTAATTAATATTAAGAAACTGTATGCAGCATGGGTGAACAAAGCGTCCTCTGATAATCTACACAGAGTAGTAGTGTCACCTCGGCGAAGCCGTGAGAGGATTATAAGGCTCAGCCTAGCATCAAGAGAGTGTAACCTTGCATGCATGAAATCTGTTCAACCTAATTGATAAAGAACACCGCATTACATTTCAGTGGTGACCTCGTCACTGTGATGTCATTGGCAATGAACGGGCCTATCAGGCTGCCCTTTCCACCCATAGCCCATTCAGAGTATCGCGATCTGTCGATACCTGTTTCGAAGACAGATGCTGCTCGAACGCTTCACATGCTCGCTCGCCTGTGCCCCACCTAGAACTGTAATGAACCTGTGACAGTTTTACGTGATGCGTGGTGGACGAACTACAAGGGAGTATACCTAATCTAGCTTTAGAATCGCCACTCTAAACTTCAGTACTATGTGTTAAAGCATTGCCTGCCTTCTCACCAGTGCAATCTTTATTTCTTGTGTATTTTTTTCACATCTGAGTTATTGATCTAACGTGTTCTCGTGTTAGCGCTCATGCTCTCGCACGGAGGAGCTCACCTTCTCTCAATTCTTCTCTCTAGTCTGCTACCTATTGAACGAATGTGAACATCTTTGATGCTATCCATATCAACAAATTGACGTATGCTGCAGGAAACAAACCGAAACTTACCTGGGCCACTTGACTATTTATGGTGAGTATCTTTTCAAAGCCACTAGTCACGCGAGATACCCCTTGAAGGAAAACTGCAAATGGCGGCAATCTCTAGTGTGTCGATAAAAAAAAAGCCTGTTTCAGAAAAGTGAAGCTCATAATGAGCCCTTGGTTTAAAAAGAAACATCGTGAAATCTGTCATTTTTCATGTCTCCGGAACCGGCAAGTATATGAAAGGTGTGAGGTGCTCCTACTCTCAAGGACTTTAACAAATGAGACGTTGCAACAAATGTTCCAAGAGTGAAGTTCACACGCTGCGAAGGCTGAACATTAGTCACAGACAGACATATTACGAAATATAGGCATTGGTAAATTATCTTCGGCTGAGACCAAACGACTCTTGTGAGGAATATTGCCAAGTTTTTGGCGTTTTCAGTGTTATCGAGGAAAACTGTCTAGTAACTTGATTTTAAACGCTGGAAAAAGCGCACAAGTCTAATTGTCAGTTTTACAACTACTTGTGCAAAAAGTAGGGCATAAATTAACACTAACTTATCACAGATACATTATGCAGCTTTTTATTAGTTTTTAAAGTCATCACGTTTTTAATACTGTTGTAAGGGCACCTTAACTTTTCGCTTGAACTGAAATTTCCTACTTTTT